TGTGATCCTCCTGCCTCAGCCTCTGAAGTCACTGGGATTATAGGCCTACCCCACCACTCCCAACCCAAGTAGTATGTTCTTGAGTTCCCTGTCATGAGTCACTGGTGAACTGAGACATCAATTTCAGTGATTCTCTACCTGAGGTTTCCAACAAAGCCAATGAGATGCTTACTAATGGGCATGCTGAAGTTACTTCAGCGTTTTAAAAGCCAAGTAGAAACCACCATATTTAACCACCACAAACAGAACAAAGATGAAGTGTTTTTCTTTGGGGCTGGTATAGGCCTCTAACAACAATGGGAAGGTAGTTACTCAAAATGATATTTCTTTGACAGTATCTTTTAAACTATAGTAGCCAGGCAATAAACTAATAAAAGGAAGGAGCGAAAAAGTTAGAAAAACAATGATCTGCATGTATTTTTGGTTTGTTTGTTTGTTTGGGTACCAGGGATTGGACTCAGGGGCTCTCAACCACTGAGCCACATCCCCAGCACTTTTTTGTATTTTATTTAGAGACAGGGTCTCACTGAGTTGCTTAATTAAGGCCATGCTAAGCTACTGAGGCTAGCTTTGAACTCATGATCCTCCTGCCTCAGCCTCCCAAGCTGCTGGGATTAGAGGCGTGCACCACCAGGCCCAGATTCATGTATGTTTTTTTGCATAGACTGTTTATTTGAGCCAACATTATAGCTAACATTCACAGGTGGGCTGTCTAGTGGTGTCTTAAACAGAAAATATGTGCATCAGATAAGTTTTGTTCAGGCATGAGTAAGGCTATGGGCTGTGGGCTCAGTGGCATCTGTCAACAATATCTATCAAATAAGGCATCTTTAAACAGAAACACACGTAAAACAAGGGTATATGTAGACTGGTGGACAAAAATCTTGTGAATAAGAGACTTGTACAAAACTGGCCCTTGTGTTTCTCCTAGAAGCAATTATTCAGAATTTGCTAACTTAGCGTTCAAAGCAACTTTACAGAACACAACTTTGCAAATAGTGAGAATCAACAGTGAACTGGGTATTTGTGGAGTTAGACAAAGGTCCCAGGCACTTGGGAGGTGGAGTTGAGCAACCTCCAGAGTTTGGCAACTGCTAGCCCTTTATATAAAGCCCCTCGAACTATGAGGGACCTCTGGAGACACTGATAAAGATGCTTTTCATTGTTTTTTAGTTTTTTGTTTTGATATCGGGGATCTAACCCATGGGTACTTTACCACCGAGTCACATCCCCAGTCCTTTTTATTTTTTTATTTTGAGACATGGTCTTGCTAAGTCACTTAGGGCCTCACTAAGTTCCTGAGGCTGGCCTTGAACTTGTGATCCTCCTGCCTCAGCCTCCCTAGCTGCTGAGATTACAGGAGTGTGCCTCGACACCTGGCCTGTTATTTCGTTTTTAAAGATGCTCTTCTTCTATAAGAGTGTTGAGGATGATGATGGGATTTATCTGGATGAATTTCTGCCTGGAATTTCCAGTGCTAGAACTCTGCTTGGACTTGGTCAGTTCCTTTCTCCCTCTCTGCCTCTTCTCTTTTTGGATGTCAAATGCTCTTTATCTAGACATCCATGTGTAACCTGCTCCTGATTTTTCGTCCCTGCAGCTGATTCTGTCACTCTTTGCCCCTCCTTCTATGCTACCAAGCAGGTCGAACAGCAGCTTCTGACCCTCTCAAGCTGCCCCAGCCTGCCACATGGGCAGGATCAGAGCACAGAAACAGAAACTTAAAGGAAAGACATGGAAATGAAGACAGGCTCCTGGGGAAGTGAAGCTGGTATTACAGGGGTCAGAAAGGTTTCCCCTTGACCTCCCGCCTCTGTCTGTCTGCAAGGCTCATTCTCTCTGTCCATCCTCCCACGAGGCCCCTCCCGGTCCTTCCCGTTTCTCTCCTGGTCTGCACTAGTCTCCCTTCTCTTGGCCGCCTTGCTCGGCTTCCTCTGGCCAGTCTCTCCCCTCCAATTGGCTGGCTTATGACTTGGGTTTTCCTGGCATTAGTTCTGACTCCCATGTCCCAGGGCCTCTATTTCAAGGGCCCACTGTCAAATACTCTTATTAGCTTTGTGTTCGCAAGAGAATCTGCTTTTGGTTTTGGTTTTGGTTTTGGTACTGGGAATTGAACCCAGGGTGACTTACCACTAAGCCCCAGCCCCAGACCCTGTCTTTTTTTTTTGACAGGGCCTCACTATGTGGCTGAGGCTGGCCTTGAACTTGCAATCCTCCTTCCTCAGCCTTACAAATTGCTGGGATAACCTATGTGTACCAACATGCCCAGCAATAACAGAGACTCTGATTGGCTTTGTTCACCCAGCTCGTAAAATCTTCTTGGAAGTCAGGTGCTCTGGTCCAACCAGCTGCAGCTGGAAGGGAGGGAAGGTCACAGGATAGCCATTTCGACCTTCAGAGGGACAGTGGGCAGAACTTAGTTCCCAGGAATGGGCCAGAACCCCAAAAGAGGCTATTGATAGTAATTTCATAGCTAAGGTCATACTCTGAAATATGAGGCAACCCTCTGGTGGGCACGAGGGGTCCTTATTTAATATTGCATGTTGTTCATTATCAGAGGGAGAGAATAGGAAAGTCACTGATGAAACCTGACTTTGGGGTTTAGGACTGTATCCCAGGGACAACGTTTCCGTCCTTAAGCCAAATCCCTCCTCTCCTCTCTGAACTTCCTCCCGTATTTCATCAGCATTTCACGAAGTATGACATGATTGGCAACCAAGGACAACCATCTCCTCCAGGGAGGACTCCAGCAGGCCAAGGGTCACCCAGGAAGTGATTTCAGAGCTTCTGCTGCACAGAGGACCTGTCTGGGGAGATGGAGAAATGAGTCTGAGCTGGTCACCAGGGAGGAAAGACAATCAAAAGGGGTTTCCTAGTTAAGGCAGATGAACCTCAAAGCAGCAGGGATTAGGGATGGTCTGGACCCAAGTGGGGAGGAATGGGTTATGTCTGGAGGCCAGTGGCATTGATGGTAAGAAAGGACACTTCTCTGCTCTCCTTCCTATGCTTCTGCAAACTGTCTGTGGGGAGAACAGAACTTCTCCCAGCTTCCCTCTGCAGCTGAACGAGTGATGGGGAAACATTCAGGCTCCCCTGTCCAGCCTCTCTCTCCACAGGAGGCACCTACCAGAGCGGAATGGTCATAGCACATAAAAGGCTCATGATAACTGAGCCTTTTTTCACTTCCTTCCCTCCACCTGGCTGTGGGGCTGGGTGGCCTAGCTGGTCTACTGGCCTGGTGTTGGAGGGACAGGCTGGCTCACTGTTTTGTCTTGCTCTGTTTTCTCCAGTGAAGATGCTTCACCCTGGCCTTTCTCGACACTGCATCCTTAAGTTCTGGGGATAGAATAGGCAGAGATTTCTGGAAAAGGAAGAGCAGTTGCCACTTTGACCTGGAGCCTAAGCCATCTTCTCCGACTCTACTTTTTGGGGTTATCTGGTATTGCTCAAGGACCTGGTTTGGAGTATCCAGTATTATGCCCAGAGACTCTTTATTGAAGTCAGCTTTTTTGCTGCTATGACTAAAAGATCTAAGCAGAAGTATTTTAGGAGGCAAAGTTTATTTGAGAGCTCACAATTTCAGAGGTCTTAGTCCATAGAAGGCTGGTCCATTCCTTGGGGCTCGAGGTAAAGCGGAACAGTGTGGCAGTGGGAAGCAGCTCACATGATGGTCGGGAAGCAGAGAGAGAACGCTGTCTCCACTCGCCAGGTACAAATATATACCCCAGAGCCACACCCCAGTCCCCACGTTCTCAGCCACACCCCACCTCTTCTGTTACCACTCAGTTAATCCCTATCAGGGGATTAAATCACTGATTAGTGATTTAAGACTCTTATAACCCAATCATTTCTCCTCTGAACCTTCTTGCATTGTCTCACACATGAGCTTTTGGGGGACATCTCACATCTAAACCATAGCACTCTAAAAGCTACACTTGGTTTCATGATTGGCTAGTGATCCTTGGGCTGCCATTTCCATCCATCAGAACCTCACAGGGAGAGGAGGCATTTGCTCCAGGATGCCGAGGAGACTCAGAATCCAAACGTACAATACCTGTGGGAGGGAACTCCAAATCTGTTTCACCAACGGTCTTTTCCATCATGTTCCCTAAATTATCACAAGTGAAGAGACTGGCTACCTTAGAGACTACTGACTTGTTATTCCTTGGTGGAGGAATGAAAAAATTAAGAGAGGGATTCAAATGTGTGTATTTGCGTGTAAAATTTGATGTAATGCCTGTCAGCTTCATCATCTCTGCATTCACCCTACCCATTTCCTGGGGAGCAAGGTGAAGAATGGAGGAGTACTCCCCTTGAAGGCAGTGGGTGGATGGCTTTAGAGCCCCGGTGAAGATTTTTCTTTCCTAGGGGGGGAAAGAAAAGCAGGGCTCTGAGAACCTGTAGACAGTCTAGAATTAGGCCACACCCACCACCTGAGCCTACGCCCAGCCATGAGGTCCTGGATCCCAGTGGTCTTTCAGGAAAGTAGAGTCAGCCCTGCCTTTTGTGTTCAGTGGTGACAGACAGCCCAGCTAGGACCTACCTGACTGGTTAGTAGATCCATCCTTTGCTCATCCACAGGCCTAAACCAAGTTTTCCCCCAATGAGCCCTTTAAAAATATTGCCTGGGTAAGTATATACTCACTACGTAGACTGTGAAGATAGGCCAAAAGAAAAAAACACCAGAAATCCCACCCTGCCGAAGGGCTATTGTCAACACTTTGTGGGGAGTTAGGGGTGCTTGGGATTGAAGCCAGGACCTTGTACATGCCAGGCGAGACTCTACCAACTGAGCTATATCCCCAGCCCCTATTGTCAACATTTTTGACAGATATCCTTTCAGACTGTGTTCATGCACATGTGATGTTTGCTTACAAATAAATAGATACTATTAAACAATGCTATTTTGTAACCTGCCATTTAAAATCGAAGGCTATATTGTGACTATATGTCCATGTGATACATTTGGGTCCACAGCATCATTCCGGATGGCCGCACACTACACCAAGGAAAGGCCGCGCCCTCGTTTATTAACTAACCAAATCAGTGGGTGTTGATGAGGTTTCTCCCAGGGTTCTGATGCTGTCATAAGCACTTCTGAATGCTATTTAAATATTACCTACATTTCTAGAAATGCAACTGCTGGGACAAAGCATATATGGTTATTTAAGGGTTTTGTTGTATTATTGTTGCCAAATTACCCCCCTGCCGAGTTTACCAATTCATACTTCTATGGCAGAGTAGGAAAAGGCTGCTTCCCACACCCACGGACCGTGTTTGGCTTCATTTCTGCCCCCGCACAGCAGTGCTTGATGATTCACATGTACAGGAGGAGGTGAGTGTGGACAGGGAAATCAGCTCGTCTCTAGCAAGTCCTGGCTCTCCCCTGGGTCCAAGTCTCCCTTGTAATACTAACTAGTGAGTCCTCCACCATCGTGGGCCATGAATAGACATAGCTTGGTCCAGTCTTGAAGGTCAGGCTTCTAACGGCGATCAAGGTCAAGCCACTTGCCCCATCTTCCATTCAGATTGCATCCTATCTCCCTCCCTGATTCTCTGGCCAATGTCCTGGTGTCCTCTGGGGTAAGTCAAGGCTGACCAGCCTGAAGCAGGAAGCATTCAGAAAGAGAGAATTACTAGCACGTGAAACTTAGCTGCCTCCCCAGAGAGCTGAGAGTCCGTAAACATCCTTATGGCTTTCTCTTTGGGTCCCAGCTGGTTTTTTCATGGTAGATTTATTGGAAGTTTGGAGCTCCCCTGTCTGTAAGTTGAGAAGAAAAAAACAGTTAAATCACCGAGCAAGCCCCAGAGCTAATCGGAGACCACAGAACCTGGAAAAAACAGAACAAGGTAGAGAAGCAAATGGCCCCCCAAGTTCCTTTGATCTATTTGTTCCTTTCTGCTGCTCTTTCTTATCTAGCATCACCTAAAAACAGTGTCTCCCTCCAGCTGGTGAGGAGGAGCGCTTTCCCACCAATCGACGTGGTGTTGTCTGCACAGACTTGAGCCTCCACTGAAAAGGCAGCCGAGTTATGGGGAATGGATTTCGCCTCCTTCCAGTCTCCGGAGGCTCTCCATCCACTCCTGTTTGGCTCCTCATTCATTCACCCCTCTCCTCATTTGCCTGATCTGATTATTCTTAGATATAATGTATTATTTTGCTCATTTATGTTCCACCGACCACTCGTTTGATAACGGCCACTCCTGTGCTCTGTAGCAGGAGACGTGAAGGTGCTCATTATAGAGCCTGCTCTGCCACTGGGGGTCTTCCCTGCCTCTGGGATGGGGGATGAATCAGTAGAAAGAGAAAAATATGATCAAAAGGTCTAGAGTCTCACCAAGGTAAGGAAGGGGCAGCTTCCCTGGTTCTTTTCCTCCTGGTGTTAGGAAAGTGCTGTCACCGTTAACAGCATGTTCAGGTCTCCGTTGTCCTCCAGGCTAATGCAGTAGAAGGTTCACAGAGGGGGCTGCCTGGTCTACGGAACCCGTGGCAAACACTTCACCTAGGACATGATGGCCGAGAACGTTCCCAGAGCACCAGGGCGGGGTTCAGTGCAGTTTACATGAGATTTGCTCAACTCCAGAGCTGGGTGGGATTGTTCAACTGTCTTATTTCATCTCTTCCCTTTTCCTTCCTCCCTCCCTCTCTTCTTTCCTGCCTTCCTTTCTTTTTCTTTCTTTATTTTTTTTTTTCATTGCCATCCAGGGAAATGGATGGAGAGGCAAAGAGAATTTTCAGTCTTGAATGCAAGAACCAGGAGTTTGAGGACTTGCCACATGGGCTTAAACAAATCACTTGGCATCTCTAGTTTGGATTTCAATATGTGTAAGATAATGTGTGTCAAAACAGATGATCACTAACCTAGCTTAGGAAGTCAAACTCTGGAACTCCAGAAATGTGCAGCACTATCACCTCCATTTTATAAAGTGGGGAAACTGAGGGAAGCAGGTTGGTGGATGAGGTGCTGAGACCAGTCAGTCTATGTTCTCAAATTGGCCTATTGACTCAGAGCTCAGGGAAAATATGGCATCACCCAGAGCCTGGCGCTGTAACGATTCTTCTCCCATCTTGGCACACAGGGAAGTTCAACACTCCCTCTCTGGGCTTCCTCCGAGTGCCATAAAACCCCACCCACCCATTACTTCTCAGGTTACATGGAATTGGCAACTGGACAATGGTTCAGACTCTCCTATTTCTCAACCAATCATTTATTTCCTTACATCATTCTTAAGTGTCCTGAAATCTGCTATTGCTAATGCCTGGTGTCCAGGGCAGATGGCCCTTTCTTATTTCCCACTGAAGATGCTTCTGTGCCAACCCCATTACTTTCCCTCAAACCTTATTCTGTTTCTCTCCACCACTGCAAAGCGATCCAGATCCCTGGCTTTGCAGATCAGTCTATCTGTCCCTCCACCCCTCCCTCCCTCCATCCATCCGTGCATTTGTTTGGTAGTTCCACAGTAGAAGGTCTGTTTTGTCTGCTCAGGAGTTTGTTCCACATTTGGGGTTTTAGGGACATAAAGTTGTATTCAGCAATCAATTAGGGCCATTCTTACTTCTCCTCAGAAAAGAAAAACTGATCTCTCCTGTCAATAGCAGCCAGGGAAAACCAACTTAGGAAAATCAAATCCTAAATTTACCAAACAGATCCATTAGAAACTGATGATTAAACTCACAGAAAGACTCTGCTTCACCAAAGGCTTTTCTGGGCCTTTTATTGATGCATTTAAGAGTTGGTTTGTACCCTTCAAAACCAATTATTGGGCAGCAAACAAAAACCTTAGGTAGCAAGCTGGGGATGTGGCAGAGTGCTCATCTAGCCTGAACAAGGCCCTGGGTTAAATGCTTGTAATGCAAACAAAAAACAAACCTCAGATTCTATCTTACTCCACAAACCTGGAGCAGGATCATCTGGAGAACTGTGCGGGTTTCCGATCCTCAGGCCAAGTGGGTAGTCAGCTCTATTGAAGAGCTGATTCTGTTGGGCTGGCATTTGGGACATTACCTCTCTTCCTTCACAAGCAACTCAAGAGAAATCCACAGAAATCCAGCTCACTCAGGCAGAGAGACCTGCAGCTCTATTGACAGGAGTCCAGTCGTTACTTAGATGTCAATCTGAGTCATCATGGAAATGGGACTCCGTTGCCAGACTTTCCATTTTTTGCTGGAATTCAGGAACTTGTGTCTTATGGGCCCATGACCATCTGTCTCCTTCTCCCCTTGCATGTATTTGACCCCTGTCACCATTACCCTAAGGGAGGGGCAAGGAAAACATGCCAACCGAGTTGGAGAAGAAGGTGAGGAGGCCCCAGGTGGGGCCCTGGTGGCATTTGGCTCCCTGAACCCAAGGAGTGAGGGGCCAACCTCATGCTGAGGTCTCCAGCCTTTGGAGCCTCTGGGATCCAGATTTTAATGGCGGTTGGGGTTTGGGCAGCTCTTTGCTTAGGAGATACCAACAACTCTGCCAATCCAGAAGAGTAAATTCTTACCCTGAAGAAAGTGGCCCGCCCATGGTGGAATTCGGAATACTCAGTCCCTCCTTGGGCCACCGTGTTCTGGTTACCTGTGCCTCCCCTGAGCTCTCCTCCCACCCCCACCCTCCTCACTCAGGCCCTTCTCTTCTACCCAGCTGGGCTCCCTCAGGGCGAGGAGGTGCTGAGAAGTCCACACCAGGACCTTCATCTGCTTCCTCCAGAGGGACATCACTGATTATTTCCACCCCAAAGGCACTTCAGCCTTTCACAGGGTAGCCCTGAGGGGCCCTTCACCCGGGTCTGAGGGTGTCTCTCAGGTCCACCTAGAGGCCCTCAGCTCTGTGTCATATGTGTCCTCAACACGCAGCACAGTCCAAGTTGGCATCTCTGCGCCTAGGGACATGCAGAGCTTCTCTCGTGCCTGAGGGGCATCTCAGCTGCCAGCTGCCAACTCCTGAGGATCAGGACCTTTGGCCTTTTCTTCTTTGTGTCTCTTGCATTTAGCACAGGGCCTGCCGGGCACATGGGTTTTTAATTCATGAAAACTCTAGGATACAGACCAGGGTCAGAGAAAGAGTAAAAGTAGGGGGAGCTACAAAATTAAAAGCCCCTTAGAATCTTAGAAGGGCAGAAGGATTATTTCCAGTATTCACTAGAATCGTGGTTTCCAAAGGGTGTTTTGGAGACTGTGGGGAGGTCCCCAAGACCCTTTTAGGGGGCCCTGAGGTCAAAATTATTTTCATAATACTCCTACGATATCATTTGCCTTTTCACGTGCGCATTCTCTCAGGAATACGCATGGCCTTTTCCAGACGCGACTCAATGTGTGATCTCACAAAAGACCCACTGCAGAAGCAGATACCCGAATCCAGCTGTCTTCCATTAAGCCACACACCAATAGGATTTGCAAAAATGCAAAACAATGCACTCCTCTCACTGATTCTTGCTTTTTTTTTTTTTTTTGGAGGGGGGCGTGTGGGGAAGACATAGTCCTGATTTCATAAGAACGTGCTAGTAATGCTAACATGTGGTGGACTGACTTGTTTTTTTGTTTTTTTTTTTTCATGGTAAAGTAATAAGTAAATATTTATACATTTCTTAGTCAATTTCTGATATGGTCAATATCAACAGATATAGCACACGTAACCAAAGTTCTTTGGGGTTCTCGATAATTTTTAAGAGTGAGAAGATGTCCTGATATCAAAAAGTTGGAGAATCTTTTTACAGGAGCATGAATACTGTTCGTCTGTCTAGTAGTCAGCGCCCCATCCCCCTACCCACCCAATTTCCATCTCTCTTTTATTCCTGGAGCCTGTGTTCATGAATTTTGGGATTATTCTTAGCTTCAGATAATCCATAAAGTGTGGCTCCCAGCGGCCCTCAGTGCCGGCATGCTAATGAGAACAGACCAGCTGTGGGCGGAAGGGGCTTAGCCAGGGTCCCTGGGCGCTCTTCCCACCATGGTCAGCAGATCTTTTCTTTTTCTTCTTTGAGGAAGCCCTTATTGCTCTTATCACCTTGGAAATTATTTGTTTCGTTTCCCACCATTGGACCAGTCCCACACGCAGCCCTTCGGGCTTTTGGAAAAGCCAGAGTCCAGAGGCTTCTCCAGGCAGGTCCTTCAGGAAGAGCTAAACGCCAATTTTCACTCTCCCTTGGAGATGGCAGGGGGTTGGGGAAAGTGAAGAAGGAGGGATGCCCTTCTCAGAAGGCAGCTGCCGGGCTGAGGGTCCTCGTGGCTAACCCCACCCCACCTCCACTCAGTGACAGCCACCCCAGAATCTGAGAAACTGTCTGACCGGGAGACTGTCTCCAGGCCCCGACAAAAGCGTGGCACGTGTGAGTTGGCATTGACGTGAAAATGTGGACCGGCTCGCTGCTCAGGATCAAATCAATTATGGCATGTCAAGGACCCGAAGGCGGGGTCCCAAGAGAGCTGGGTACGGTCTGGAGGACAGAAGGCAAATAATAAGAGTGACTGATGTTCGGGATTAGCACAAGCACCGGGACACACTTTTCCACAACCACCTTGTGGAGTAAGCACATTATTAACATCTCCCTTTACAGGTAGGGAGAGGAAACTTAGCAAGTTCCAGCAATTGGCCCCCAGGGGAGTGGAGGCTTTGCTCTGGAGTGAGGCTTTTTGGGGACTCAATGTTCTGGGAGAGGCCTGAACAGGCAACTGGTTCTTTGCTAATTATTGTCAGAAGGAAAGGAAATAGAGCAGCTCTTCTGAAAGCCATGTCACCCGTGCCGTGGGGCAGTAGTGGCATTCGTTTCCCATGC